AGATCTAGAACAGCAACAACTGGATCTTTCCTTTGCCTGATTTTAAGCTAGGTTGTAGCTCCATGCCTAGCCGCCCACGCTAATAAATGAATCAGGCTCAGTAATCAATAATCAGTAGTGATGGGCGAATCCAGAAATTTGCATTCGATTCCGATTCTGAATACTTCTGAGACTGGAATCGATGGAATCGAATACCGATTCCGAGACTACATCTGCGCATGCGCAAAGCCACGTGGTATCAATTACAGCAATAATTAAGGTATTAACTACTGATTTATTAATTATTATTAATATTAAAAGGTGTGGTTGGGTGTGGTTTAATTCGGAATCGTTTCAAACGATTCCTACTTCTCTTTCGATACGAGTACGATTCCATTCGGAATCGAAGGATCGAATACTCCGGACTCGGAATCGCCCATCACTAATAATCAGTATGGATGCTTCGACTCGAGCTGCTTCAACTGTAATAGAAGCTGAGGAGGTTGTTCTACCTGGAGGAGAGCTAAAGAAAGGACCAGTATACGTCAGTATAGTACAAGATACCATTACTGATATTACCAGTACTCGCCCACCAACAGTTAAAGATGTGATTAAGACTCATTTATTGACTCCTGGCTTCATTGACTTACACATTCATGGATTAGGTAGATCTATACTCATATATAATGTGTAGCATCTACATGTAAGGCAGTATACCTTTAAATTGTGATTATAAATTAGGAATTTTTCTAGCCATTTTTGTTCACGGCCTTTCAATGACAAATTTTTTGAGGCATTAAAAATTTATAAAATCTCATTTTGATTAGAATTTAAATCAGTTCATCACATAAGATGACATACCATATAGCGGGACATTTTGGAAGGAATTAAAATTTGCAAATTTAGCATTTTGATAGCCATTCGCCAAAATAATAATCTGCCATTTTGAGCCATTATTCACATGCTCAATGGCATGCGGCCACAAATTTGCCAAATTAAAATCCGCCAATCACCAAAATTTAGCAATTTGCCAAATTTTACTCCCTCCAAAATTTCCTGCTATTTGGTATTACTATAAATCTTCAATCTTTTTTACTCGTAATTACTATTACTATTACCTCTATGTACATGTATAGGTGGAACCAATGATGTGATAGATTTCTGGTCAAACCCAGGTATAGCACAAAAATAATAAAGTTATTATTTATTGTCACTATGAATAGGCTACACACTCTCTCTTCTACCAATGGCAGGTACCACAAGTTGTCTAGCAACCATTGTCTTCCCTAAGAGCTCATCTCAACCAACCACTCTACGATTATTTGATAAGTTAAAAGACGTTATTGGTAGGACTGATACTGGCGGTGCAGTACTGGAAGGAATTAATGCTGAAGTAATGTGACATGATATTAATTTATGTATTTGTATAACAATTTGATCAGTTGTGAGCATTTTTATTACTTTGAAAAATTGATTTACCTTAATTAAAATGATAGCTTCATTAAATTATTTATTTAAGTTGATAATGTTTAGAGTTATGGACTACTAAAATGATAAAATAGCATATACATGTATCTAGTTCATAATATTTTGATTGATGTCCTTATCCTGCACAAAAAGTCTTCTGAACTACCATAATTATTCTGACTTAAGTTTTGAGCATTTTAAAGCACTACTATTATACATGGGCCAAATGCCATGCATGATGATTTATTGGTGGAAGTAATATTTGGCAAATTTGCATCTGAAAAGAAATTGGCAGATTTTATATTGGTGATTTTGTGCCACCTGCCATTGAGCATGCTCAGATCTAAACAAAATAGCGGATTTTATATTGGCAATTTCTTCATAGAACCGCCAATCACTAATATTAATTTCTCACCAATAAATCATCTTGTACGGTATATTACCAATAATAAATGTCCTAGGGTCCTCTAGTGAATGATTTTGGTGGTCTCCCTGAGAGTGAGAGACACATGACAGAGACTGACTTTGAGTTATTAATAGACTCAATACCATCAATCAAGATAATGACTATTAGCCCACACATTGAGGCCAGACACAATTATAAAAGACTAAAACTACTAATTAAAAAGTAAGTAAGTGTTAGTATAAGTTTTATTTATTGATTAATTTACTGTAGGGCGCCTTTTTCGAGGGCTGTATTTTTTCA